TATATTTTCTGCTTTTATACTCACATTTCTTAAAGTAGTGCCTGGCTGTGGAGTAGCACATGGAGCCAAGTACAGTCATACATCACTTAACAATGAGATAGTTCTGAGATATGTGTTGTTAGATGATTTTGTCATTTTCTGAAGTTCATAGAGTGTACTCACACAAGCCTACTACACAACTAAGCTACATGGTATAGACTCTTGCTACTGACCTATAAACCTGTTCAACGTATTACTGTACTAAATATAATACTACAGACAATTGTAACATAATATTAAGTATTTTTATATCTTAACATAGAATAAGTACAGTAATGGAATAAAAGATATATTAAAATGGTATACTTGTATAAGGCACTTACCATGAATAAAATTTATTGGACTAGAAGTTGCTCTGGTGAGTCAGTGAGTGAGTGTTGCATGGATGTGAGTGTTGCATAGGATGTTGCATAGGACATTACCCTGCACTACTGTGGACTTTATGCACATCGCCTCACAACAGCGTCTGAAATAGAACTTCTAAACTGTCAGCACTGCTCTATAACAAAAATGTGGACTGGATTGATTGATTGGAAATATCAAGGAGAGATTGGATGGATAAGACATAGATCTGCATGATAGTGACTTCCAGGATGGGATAAAAGGTGGGCTGAGGATCACTGAGAATAATAGCTCAAGATGAAGAGATGAAAGGACATAGGGATTGTCATGCAATGTGGTTTTGGTTATTGCATCTTAAAGCAGTGGTTAAATTAAGAAACTGTGGTATTCATTTAAAAAAAAGGATATTTAACATGTAGAGGGTATAGAACAGTGAGGGTTCAATGTTTTGACTTTGGACATTTGTTTTTGGTTCCATTGACCCTATCTTACACAGAGGGCTCACTCTGGCATTAAAGTCATCGGAGTGTTGAGGGGTGTGAAGAGAAGAATTTACCAATGTTTTACACCATTGAAACCTGAAATACTTTCAAAATTCAGGGATAGGCTGACTCCACACTATCATAGAAAGCCTTTACTAAAGTGGCAGTGGCATTTACTACCTGTTAAGGTAGCTCCTGTGGACCTGTTTCTTTGTATAGGACCTTAGGTCCTTAACAAAGAATTTTCACAATGAACTCTGAGGACCATCAGACTAAATCTGGGAGAAATGCAGTACCTTGAATATTTTACACTGAGGAGTCAGGTTTCTCTGTGTTAAAACAGGTCAGTGGCTGACTAATTGAGATATAATCTGTCCACCCACAATTCAGGTGCTATCAGTGAGAAGAAGCCAATTGCAAAGCTCCACAGATATGGCTCCTGTCGGAGAAAGAATAAAAACATATTTTTTTCTGGTTAAGGTGGCAGCAGAGCAAATAGAGTACTCAGAGCCTCCCACAACCACATCAAAATTATTACTCAACTAAAGTACAACCACCATTCAGAACCACATGAAATCTAGCTGAACAGAAGTCTTATAACTAAGGATATACAGAAAAAGCCATGTTGAAACTGGTAGGAGGGACAAACACAGAACAGGCTGGTCTCAAATCCATGTGTGGCTGTTAAAAATTGGGAAGGATAACTCAGCTGCAGGCTCCCCACTGAGGAGCCAGAGGTCTGAGTCCCACACCATAATCTAGTGAAGGGAAGATAAGTTCCCATAACTTCTGGCTGAGAAAACCAGCAGGAATTGTGGCTAAATGAGAGAAAGGGCTGCTGGAGCCCATGGCAGTTCCTCTTAAAGGGTCCTCACACTGACTGACTTGATCTCTCACTGCTCAAAGTTCTAGGGCAGGAGATTGAAAGGCACTAAGAACACATGGTTTCAGGATGAGGGCTCAATTATCTGGCTTCAGGATGAGGACTGGAGGGACAACTTTCTACAAGATGGAAGTGCTGGCAGAGACCACTGAACCTTCTCCCCAGAGAGCTGTCAGTCAGTCTCCATATCTGAACCTGCATCAGCCTGGCTAACACTATTTACCTGCCCTGGTAATTTCTTGAGACTCCAGTCCACCCAACTGTGTCCAATGTCTTTTCCATACAAAGGGATTTTCTTGGCTCAGGCTTTGAACTTTCCTAAAATCTCTCAAACCAGAAGCATCTGGCCTCTATGACACATACATCTTGCTAAATGGCCCCATGCCTGGCACTAGTGGCAGCCAGCCTCAGTTCATGGCTTGGCTTCTCCTGGGCATCTCCTTGTCCAACACAAGTAGCAGTCCTTTGCTCATGCCAGGTGGCCCCAAGGCAGGGCATCTGACAGACTTCAGACCACATCAGATTACAACCTAGCCACCTCCACAAGTAATGCACTCAATGGCAGACTTGGGAGGCACAAAAACCTGACTGAAATATGCTCTATGGAGTTGGCAATGTAGCTCCTCCTCTGTATTCACAGTCAGTTCTCATAGCCAATCAGCCTGGGGTTCAGTCCCCCCAATAATATAACAAAAGCAGTCAAGGCTCAACTACAACTGAACAGTGTACAAAGCCCATGTATGGTGCATCTGGAATGTTGAGTCTAAGTGTGAAGGGAGATTGTGCCACTGGCCCCTAAAGAACACTTCTACATAAGGCCATTCTAACAAGACAGGGATAATCAGAGCTCGAGCTAATACATAGAAACGAACACAAGAAAGCCGCCAAGTGAGAAGAGAAAGGAATAGGACCTATGTGACAAAACAGGAGAAATCTTCAGGGCGGGGGGGGGGGGGGGGGGGGGAGCCAGCCCTAACCGGTTTGGCTCAGTTATGTGGCACATGACTATAACAAACAAGGAGGGGAACACATTTCTCACCCTCGTTCTTCAATTTTTGATTTCCAAGATTCTGAACCAATTTTTTTTTTAAATCGGGTCTTCTTATTCATAAAATGGAATCACCACTTATTTAACCAGTTTAACTTGCACAGTTGTCATGACAGGCTATGAAATAAAGCATATGAACAATTGATAAGCACTTTACAAAGCATATTTTGACATTCCTAGCTTCTGAATTATGGCTCATGACTTGAATAGATAGGAAGCACTGTGACATGGTACATAGAAAGGGAGTGGACTGACAATTCTCAGGGAGAAAAGGTGTGGGGGTGGGAAGAGACTGGACAAAAATTGTACACCTATGGATGAGGACAGTGGGAGGTAAGGCAAAGGATGTGCTAGGTGTCCTATTCGGCCCAGTAGCTCAACCTCCCCAGTTACCTGAGGTGGACACTCTTGGTGCAACCCTTTGTGGGCTGTGTGAACAAGCCTTGATTGTTGTTGGTATTACTGGAAGTAATTGACCTCCAGGCCAATTGGCTGTGAGGATCAGCTGTGTCTATGCTGGGAGAACTTCTGTGCTAGAGACACCTTTATCAGACAAAACTTGCAAAAGCCTCTGTGCTCAGCTTGGATGGGGCAGAGTCTCAGGGCAGAATTGTCAGCATTGGTTTCCTGTCAACCCTGCCCTAATAGGCTTCTGTGTCTCAATGTCCCAGGGTAATCGCTGCAAGCACCTCTGAAAGAAAGCCGCCCTCGAATTCCACCCTCTGCCAGAATGTCCAGTTTTTCCCCAAATGAGTCTGGGTCCCAGAGTCTCATCCGGAACTGGAGTTCAATGAAATTGGAGCTCTTGTCTCCCTTCCACATAAGAAAGCCAGCAGCATATTCAGTTGCTCATTCTCTCTGCAAGCAACTCGTTACCTCTGCCTTCTGCAGTTCCTCTGAGTCTCAGTGTGCTTTTCTCTTTCCTGACAGTCCAGGTTCATTCGTATGACTTTGGGTCCCCAGAGTCTCACCCTGAACTGGAGTTCTCCACAGTCAGGAGCTTTCATCTCCCTCCTGCTTGAGAAAACCAGCTGCACACTCAGTTGCCAGTCTTCTCCATGCAAAGGTCTCAGTACCTCTGCCTCTTGCAGCTCCTCGGAGTCTCAGTGTGCTTTTCTCTTTCCTTCTAGTTGTAGAATTTCCACTCAGCCAGTCTTCCTGTGGTTCTCAAAAATGTCGCTTTTATCTTTTAGTTGTAGTTTTAAAATATTTTTAAAATATATTTTTTATTGATTTTTTACAGAAAGGAAGAGAGAGAGATAGAGAGCCAGAAACACCGATGAGAGAGAATCATCGATCAGCTGCCTCTTGCACACCCCCCACTGGGGATGTGCCCACAACCAAGGTACATGCCCCTGACCGGAATTGAAGCCTGGACCTTTCAGTCCACAGACCGATGCTCTATCCACTGAGCCAAACTGGTTTTGGCTGTAGTCTTAAAATTGTTGTGTGAGACAGCAGTTTAGGTGTTTACCTATGCCACCATCATGGTTTCACCTGACATGAGGATTTTTAAATCAGTAACCTTTCTTTCAAAAATGACTTATACTTGGACTGTTCCATTAATTTATTTTATGATGATTTTATCTATGTAACAGTCTGTGTAACACTTTTCTACATGCATAGCTGAGTTCACATGTTTATCATTTCTAAAATTTATTTCCATTCTGTTCATCTAACTGTAGGAAATTCCATTTTAGTCACTAAGTTTCAACTCATTTGTTGAGGATAGTGTATATTCGTAAACAAGACAGATAATACTTTCCAATCAGTGTATTATTACAAACATTAATTTCAGGGTTTTTTTTTCAATTAACATTATGTGGTATAATTTACATAATATAAAATGTACTCCTTTTAAGGACTGCATCTGATTATTCTTTATAAAGGTCCGATATAGAATAACAAGGTGCAGATCAATTACATCACACCAAAATGTTTCTTTATACCCTGTGCACTCATTTTTTTCACACCTCCTCCTCCTCAGGAAACCAGTGACTTGGTTTGTATGTAAACACATTAGATTTTTGCATTCTAGAACTGTATATAATTGGAATCATAGGGTATGTATTCTATTGTATAATATATGGCTTATTTCACTCATAATACAAGCATAGTATTTTCATCAAGACTGTTACATGTATCAGTAATTTGCTCCTGAAGCTCTCTAAAGTTAAGCAATAGGATTATTACTTCGGAGAATAAATAAAGGCATGCATATGATTAAGCAGTTGGTATTTCCTAATATGTATACGCCCTGCTTAAAAGGAAGGTGGAACATGCTTTCGGTTTCAAATTGCAAGCCAAGGCTAAGAGAGAAAAGCCATGGAGGCCGGTAAGTTTGGGGTTTTGTTGTGGTTGTTATTGCTCTGTTTTGTTTATTTTTTTTACTTTATAAAAGGATATGTCTTAGGGAATTTTTTTTGAAAGGGGCTGGCTTTCGGGAAATCCATAATTAGGTTCTATGACAGTTTAGGTGAACAGAACTGAGGGAGAGGGAAGAAAGTGGAGAGGAGAAAGGGAAGTAGAGAAGGGGCCCCAAATGCTCACAGCTTTCAGAAAGGCCAGGCGAGGGCCGAAAAGGAACTGAGCTTTAGTGGTATTTTCTGTCATTTTGCAATCTTAACTGAGTTCTCTGACAAAGGGTGCAGGATGCCCCTGAGATGGGTACCAGCAGCTGCTGTCCCCAAGGGAAACAGGTGAAAACACAGGAGTCAGTCACAGTAAATCTCAGACTTCAGACACTCAGTGAGCACATGGGTAACACAGAGGGAAGAGTGAGAGATGAGGGTAGCTCAGGATGACTGAACTGCATGGGGAGGGACATTGTATGGACTAAGTCTAAAGAAGGCTCTTCCCTGTTGCTGACTTGAGAGGAAAACGAGGCTGTTTAGTGACTTGAGAAATCCTTGTGTTTCAAACAGACAAAGTCCTGAAGGAGAAGAGGACTGTTTTTATCCAATCCGTGACCCCAGGTATAATAAATGGCTTGTTGGATGACCTGTTAGAAAAAAGAGTGCTGAACCAAGAGGAGATGGAGAAAATAAGAAAGGAAAATGCCACATCTATGGATAAGGCCCGAGCTTTGATTGACTCAGTCTATCGGAAAGGGCCCCGGGCAAGCCAAGTGTGTATCACTCTCATTTGTGAAAACGACTCCCACCTTGCAGAGAAGATGGGGCTCCCAGGTAAGGTCTGCAATTGGGAGTAATGTCCACCGAGGCCCCCTGACTTTAAACCACATAGGATGTCTTCATTGGTCATGTTTGTTTGCAGAAAGCTTCTTTACGTCTGGCAGTATTATATATGCCCTGTCTCCTTACCCTTTATTCCTATTCCTTTAGTCTCAGAGTCCTTCTTTGAATTAAAACTCACCTCCCCTCCTGAATATGTGGTAGCTTAGTTGTTGAAATTTATGAGAACAGTCTGATAAATTTCATACCACATTATCTAGTCCTCTTGGCAAGACACTTTATTTACTATTTATTTACTTACTTACTTATTTATTTATAATTTATTATTTATATAGTTAGTTAGTCAGTCAGTCTATGCCTGTCTTACTAACATAGCAAAGTTCATCTCTGGGTAAGTTCTTGTTTATCTTTTAATACCTTCCCCCCCCCACACATAACATTCCCCCAAATTAAAGACAATAACTAACAATAAGGGTTCAGCTAGTTACTTAAATCTAGGAATCCCTAGATACTTATATAGTTACCTGACATGAAGACTTCAGGTCTGTCAATGGAGTAGCTTTTTAAAAAATATATATTTTATTGATATTTTACAGAGAAGAAGGGAGAGAGATAGAGAGCTAGAAATGTCGATGAGAGAGAAACATCGACGAGCTGCCTCTTGCACACCCCCTAACAGGGGTGTGCCCGCCACCAATGTACATGCCCTTGACCGGAATCGAACCTAGGACCCTTCAGTCCGCAGACCTATGCTCTACCATTGAGCCAAACCGGTTTCGGCCATGGAGTATCTTTTTTATTTCTCTCCAAAAGTTTGCTCTCTAGGAAGAATAAAATATTTCAATGATGGTGAAGCACTCAGAACATAAATTCAATGCTGACAGAAAAGCTAGAATTTTAAATGTGGACTCTTTCACTTATTAATTGCCCTCTTGCGTTTTCTTTTATGTGATGTCCACTAGCATGGAACTAGGCTGCAGACCATTGTGTAAGGCCCAACCTTAACCTCACATCCTCCTGAGGCCCTGATACAAGACAGACAGGCATCTGACCTGCCCCTTCTCTCCATAGTTCCTAAGTCCCCTCACAGCCGAGATGGGAGCTCTGGCAACTCGCAACCGCCGGTCTCTTTTATGCTTCCCAATCCAATCAAAGGGAAAAGTGGTTCTTTGAAAGCAAGACATCTTTTTCTCAGGGACTGAGGGAAGCCTATGTCTGGCTTACTGACATACAAAGTTCATCTCTGGGTAATTTCTTGTTTTCCATTTATTTATTTATTTTCTTTTCTTTCTTTCTTTATTGATTAAGGTATTACAAATGTGTGGTTATTTTCCCATTGCTCACACCAACTGCCCCAATCCTACCCTCACTCTCACCCTCCATTGTTTCCATTGGTTATGTTTATAAGCATGCATAAGTCTCTGTTTTCATTTGAATACCTTTTTTTCCCCCTGTTTAACACTCCCCCAAAATAAAGATAATCAATAACTAACAATAAGGGTTGGGAGTAATTTTATAGTAGCCAACATTTCTCCTTCCTTGCCCCACTCCTTCCAGGTCATAGTCCTTGAGTTCTAGAGGCATTTGAACGAATCACTAGAATGAAGTTTACAAGTGGAGTCTCCTAGCTGCTGGTCAGCTGATGGACCCTCAGGCAGGCTGTCATGGCTTTGTGTCTCTCTCATCTACTTGGCAATTGTTTTCCAGGCCACATGATGTAATAATTAGATGACTTATTTGAATGACTCTAATAGGTAGATCTTTCTGAAAAGAAGTTCTTGACATGTACACGCCTGCCACCACAAAACCCTCTCCAGAGAACATATTTGAACTTATTGCTGGTTAGTCAGTCCAGCAGTCTGGATGGGAAGGGCGGGACAAACTTCAGTCTGTCCTCTTGGGCTGAGCATTTTGAGGGACAACCTATGGCTCTCCCTCATTCAGAGCAGGCAAATGGATCATATTTTTCTATGGGAATATTGACTTCAAAAGTTACTATGGGATGAAAACTCAGGGTATTTCATATATGTTAGCTCACACCAACTCTTAAAAGTTTTTGGATTAAGCTTCTAAGCTGTGTATTGTTATATTAAGATCCTTATAAAGGCTTAAAAAAACACACATGTAAGTTTAATTTCTGTCCTTGAAATTGACAAGCATAATGAATGGTGACCTCAGAGGATGCCTTGATAGGCTTGAGTTGTTTTATGCACCCAAACAGTGCAACAGGCTTTTCGGTGTTTGTTTGTTTGTGTTTTTGTCCCTAGGGGTGTGCCACTGAGTAGGGCAAATGCAGAATACAGAGCCTGCAGCCAGAGCCCCTGTCACATACATGAACCCACAATGCCCTTTGTGGGCTGGCAGAGTGGTTCAGTACACCAGAGCCTAGATTTGTGTTTATACGCTAACTCTACCTCTTTCCTGCTATGTGGCACTGAGATTAACTGCACCCTGATTGATGGTAGAGAAATGAGTCACCTCGTCGTCATTTTCTGCTGTGACAGAACTTGGCAGAGTACTTGTCCCAGCCTTTCCTTGGTTTTCTCTAAAATCTAGGTCAGCTCGAAGTTACACAGCCTCACTTTGCATGTACCTGCCAAGCAGTAGTGGGCACCTCAGGAGCCACCTTGAAACACACATATTAAGAGCACTCTTAACTTCTGTAGCTGATGGAATCTCATCATAGAAAGCAGAAATCAAGGGGCAGGTGCAGGCACGCTTCTCTTCTGCCTCCAATGTTAATGCCCAGTAATACATGTGTGGACAGGCTTTTGTTTCTCAATGACCAGTGTGGATGAACAGATCAAAGCTTGTGGACATTGTTTTCACCAGGGAGTTTCCAACAGAAAAAAGTGACTCATTTATGGCCTTTATCTCTCCTCAGGTGGGAAATCAGACAATGATCAAAATGCACACGACTCTCAAGCAAGACTTCTTCCCTTCACAGGTAATGCCATGTTCAAGGCAAGAACATTTTTGAACCCCAACTTTCTTGACATTAACTACAGATTCATGGGATAAATATGGGGTGAGGAGGCAATGGGCAGTTCTCCTGGATTGATCCTGTGTCTTTTGCTATTTTCAATCCATTCTGCTTTAGCAGAGGGCATTCCTGCAGTTTCACTTGCATATTTATAGCAACAAATTCTGAATATGTGTCTCAAATTCTGAATACTCACCTGAACGCCACACTTCATTATCCCATAGCCATCTGAACATAGGCACTGGCATCTCCCACAGCCCCCTTTCCTCTGCTTACCCAGAGTTAAACTTGCCATCTGCCTTCCTTCACACATTGGTTCTCATTCTCTTTCTTGGTTATGGTGCCTCCATTACCAGTTACTCAAACCGGAAACCGGAAATTCAATTTTAGCTCTTTCTTCTCCCTCAGTTCCCCCATTCAAACAGTATCTGAGATTTATTGATTCCTCTCTCAAGTCCAGATCTGTCTAGCCACTTCTCTTTGTATTACTATAGTTCAGAGCTCCAATTCCCATAGTTCTCTCTGATTCTCCTGCCATAATCTCATTATATTTTTCTTGTATTTTTAAAAATAAATCCATTATTATTTCCCACTGGGCTTTAAGCTTTATAAGTCCAGCCTCTTATTTGCTAAACTAGAGGTCTGGTGCACAAAATTTGTGCAAGGGGGGGGGGGGGGAGTTGTCCCTCAGCCCAGCTTTCACCCTCTCCAATCAGGGACCCCTCAAAGGATGACTGACTGCCCTTTCACAATCCAGGACTGCTGGCTCCCAACCGCTTGTCTGCCTGCCTGCCTGCCTGATTGTGCCTAACAAATTCTTCCTGCCAGCCTGATCACCCCCTAACCACTTCCCTGCCAGCCTGATCAATGCCTAACTTCTCCCCTGCTGGCCCTATTGCCTCTAACTGCCCTCCCCTACCATCCTGGTTCCCCCCCCCCCCAGCTGCCCTCCCTTGCAGGCCTAGTTCCCACCACAACTTCCTCCCCTACAGGTCTGGGCTCCCCTTAACTGTCCTCCCCTGAAGGCTTGATCACCCCTAACTGTCTTCCCCTACAGGCCTGATTGCCTACAAGTGTCATCCCTTGCATCCTTTGTCCCTTTCAACTGCCCTCCCTTGCTTGCCTGATCACCCACTACTGCTCTCCCATGCTAGCCATCTTATGGTGGCCATCTTGTGTCCACATGGGGGCAGCCATCTTTTACCACATGGAAATGGCCATCTTGTGTGTTTGAGTAATGGTCAATTTGCATATTACCTCTTTATTATATAAAATAATCAGTGTTTTATTTGTCCCGGGACAGTGTTTTACTCTCAGTTCTTGAAGTATTTCATCTGAAAGTTATTCTTTTCTCTAAATTTTGCAAGATAGTTAGAGCCACAAATGGAAATAGTTCAACAAATTTATAAATTGCTGTAGTGAACTTATTAAGGGTGGTTATCCATGAATTTTTCTTAGATATTTCATGGGATGGAGATACTCACTATATAATCAAATGCCTATTTCTTTACTAGAAGTTAGTAGCTCTTCTGTAATCAAATATTCCTCTTTAATATTTGCCATTGTTCTTCAGATACAATGTATGGAGAAATAGAATATTTCTTTCACTTAGTAATGATTTCTATAGTTTTCTTTAATAAATTAATTCTAATTAACTTTTACTTTACCCACAGTAAACACATTTCAGCCTGCCTTGTTTTGCCTAAATAAATGCACAATAATGTCTTCAAATTTTCCTTCAAAATTGAATATAACTCTCTTGTTTGAATAATTTAGCTTTTGATAGATCTTCCAAATATTGAGAAAACATAATTATTTTGAAAAAGACATTATGTTATTTCTTTAGCAAGTACATCACACTGCTGGATGGTAAAGGCTTTATTCACATAAATGACTGTTAAAACTCGTCCTCATATATTGATGTAATCATTGTTTAGTGCCATGAATCTATCTAATATGCATCTTGATTTTAGCATTTATCATTCTATCTCATAGTCATTCTAGTTAATATATTCAGTATTCCTCCTCCTCCTCCCCATACATACTCACATTAGAGATATCCTGGAGGATAGAACAAAAGCCCAACCTCCCTCCCTCCCTTCCTTCCTTCCTTCCTTCCTTCCTTCCTTCCTTCCTTCCTTCCTTTGTCTTTCCCTTCCCTCTTTCCTTCCTCCCTCCCTTCCACCCTTTCTTCCTCCCTCCCTCCCTCCCTTTCTCCTTTCTTTCCTTCCTTCCTTCCTTCCTTCCTTCCTTCCTTCCTTCCTTCCTTCCTTCCTTCCTTTCTTCCTCTTTCCCTTCCTTCCTTCCTTTTCTTCCTTTCTCTCTCCCTTCCTTCCTTCTTTCCTTCCTTGTTTCCTTTCTCCCTTCCTTCCTTATTTCTTTCCTTCCTCCCTCCCTTCCTTCCTTCTTTTTATCTCTAATGCATCTTAAGTAAATAAAAAATAAACACATGTATTCTAAAAACATTGAAATAGAGTGATTAAACTCTGCCTCAATTAAATTTTATTATCCATTTTAAATCATTTGAAATAAATTCATATTCTAAACATTTTATCTAACATATTGTTTTTGAGAGCTATATCAGGCATGGCCTTGAATAAATTCCCCTTTTATTCGTCTAATCTAAAGTTTTTGTAAAAATGCTGGTCCTCAGAGATAAAGGCTGATTCTTGTATTGCAACCCTAGAAGCCTCCTCTGGTGTGGAATGTGTTCCCATAGCAGTGACTCACTCAGTGGTGCTGGCATCTATCCCAGGGTTTTTCCTCTAAGGATTCACTCCCTCCTCTGTGGCTTCACATGCAGCTCATGCTGTGAGGAGCACCAGGCAGGACACCCAGGAATGCCATTATTCATAATGCCTCTTGTCTGTTGCAGCTCCCCAGGCAGTGAAAGACAACTCAGCTCAGCTGGTGGTTTCAGGACCAGGAGGGAGCCTCAAGCTCTGCCCGCCAGACATAGTCCAAAGGATATGGAATGAAAAGTCAGCGGAGGTGCTGTGCTCAGAAAACAGGATCTGGGTGGAAGAAACACTGGACTCATTGAAAGGGCAGTGGAGCTTTTTTAGAGCCACTTTCCTAGAGAAGTTCTAGAAAATCATGGTGGTGCTTCCCTTACACAAAGCATTCCTATCTCCTAGAATCTCCCAGATTTATGTATTGAGTTCTAAGTTTGATACCTCTCCCGGAGTAAATACTTAAAATAACAACAAAAACATCCTGGGATGCTTAATATGAATCAGATACTATTCTAAGCAAGTTGCAGAGTTGAGAAAACATATTTGAATAATACCTTGAACCCTAATAATAGCCTATGTTATAGATTAGGAAACTGTGCATTGGATGATAAAATATTTTGGCAAAAACAATAAGCATCAAAACATGTTCTCTCAATCCTAACTTAAAAAAAAAAATTAAATCCTAATCAGTTGTCATCTGGGAATTTGTAAGCTCTATTTTAACTCCTCTAGTAAGATTCATTTGACTTTCCTATAATTGTGGTTTATGAAATTTGGTTTCTGGATCAAACTAGAGGGGGAGAAATAGTCATATATCCTCAAGATGAATATTTAAAGGGAACAGGGCCATTTATGCAATTTGCATTTCCAACAGATTTACCCAGTAATGGGAAAGTCCACTCGGACACGTATTGCTCTCATTATCTGCAACACAGAGTTTGATAAGCTTCCCAAGAGAGCTGGAGCTGATGCTGATATCAGAGGTATGAAGATGCTGCTGGAAGGTCTGGGATACACTGTGGATGTTAAAGAAGACCTCACTGCTTTGGTAAGGTCTTCCAGAACGTAGGGACAATGATCACACCTTTCATTTGCCTAAATAACTTTTGGTTGGAGCACCAGAAACATAACTTCTTGATAATCTAAAATTTAAATTTGCCCTTAGAGGTGCTTCTCACCCCTCCTAACTAGAAAAAATTCTGGTGAAACTTTTATTTGAGAATTGCTCTGTGAACAAAAATACCCTTTCCTCTCTACTAGAAATCCCCAAATGACATTCTATAACCCTAGGTCATCTATGTTTGAATTGAAACTTAAGTTATCTTTTGTACCCCATTGATGTTTATATTATCCAGGAAGTTCTTAAGTGTCTTTTTATTGAATTTCCCAGGTGCCATGGTAATGGATCTCATGGTCCAAAAGTAATGGCATGGTCTCTTCCAGGACATGATTGCAGAGCTGAGGGCCTTCGCTGCCCGCCAGGAGCACAAGAACTCTGACAGCACTTTCCTGGTGTTTATGTCTCACGGTATTCGACAAGGCATTTGTGGGAAGAAACACTCCGAGGAAGTCTCAGATTTATTAGATATCAACACCATCTTTCAAAGTTTGAACACTTATAACTGTCCAAGTTTGAAGGACAAACCCAAAGTGATCATTATCCAGGCCTGCCGTGGTGGTGAGTGCTGTTGCGTTAGAACACAAGATATGCAAGTGTTGACCTCATCATTTCTATACATGTTTTGTGCCTGCTCCTTAATATCAAAGAATACCTACTGTCACCAAACAAAGCTATAGCTTCTGTGAGTTGTATGAATGGTTAGTAGATATTTATTCTACTTTCAACTAAAGAGATATCCCTTTTAGTCTCAAGACTTGGATGTTTCAGTGTCAATATAATTCATTTAGGGTTAGTAGAAATAAAGGTTGTTAAGAAGATAGTTCCTGGGATGTATGTGTGTACACAAATGTGAATGCAAGATAGCCACAAATGAATTAGTAAATATGGTTGAACAGAGGCTTACGGGAGAAAATAAATCTTTTGGCTTTTGGTAGTAACAAGATATAAAATCTTGTCTCTCTAGAGAATGAAGGCGTGGTGTGGTTAAAAGACTCAGCAAAAGATTCTGGAAACAGCTTCTCATTGGCTCCAGAAGATTTTGAATATGATGCCATTAAGAAAGCCCATATAGAGAAAGATTTTATTGCTTTCTGCTCGTCAACGCCAGGTAATGGGTGCCTGTGTAGGACACCTTTTTGGGCATTGCCAATACAGAAATTCACACACACACACACAAACACACACAAACACACACACACACACACACACACACACACACACACTCTGTAGAGAATGGGTATCTGTTGCACTTTCTATGACACTTCTGAAGAACAACTAAAGCAGTCCTCCTAGTTTAAATCATCAATTATCCGTACCCACAGAGATCACATATACTTTCACTAAATTAGTAATTAGTAAACTCCCATGGTGCAAAAATAGTTTCCTGGAACTGCTTGGGATCAATTGAGAAATATCTATGCTGAAGTAAATTAGAAGCTGATTCCACTTAGGGAAGGTTTACAATGTTGAGATCAATCAGCAGATCAATTTGCCTGGACATCAGCATGTATTTACAGAAAAGAAGTATTATAAATATAGGGGCAGGGAGAGATAAAAAAGCATAAGAGGCATATTGAACCTCTAAGTTAAATTGTTTTCAACTAGAAATATAGAGTGGATGAAAAAGAAAAAAACAACATAATGACTTCTAAACCTAGGCTATGGATTAAGAATACTGCCAATTATATTCTGACCCTGACATCCATTTAATATTTTGTAAAGTAGTCCTAGTTATTCAGCCTCTCTGGGCTTTCTTTGAATTCCTCATTGACATTATATATATATATATATATATATATATATATATATATATATATATATATATATATATATATATATATTAGAGGCACAGTGCATGAAATTCCTGTACTGGGTGGTGGGGGGAGTGTCCCTCAGCCCAGCCTGCATCCTCTCCAATCTGGGACCCCTCGAGGGATATTCAATTGCCCATTTATACCCAAACCCACCTGGATTGGGTCTAAATGGGCAGTTGGACATCCCTTTCACAATATAGGACTGCTGGCTCTCAACTGCTTGCCTGCCTGCCTTCCTTGTCCATAACTGCTTCTGCCTGCCAGCCTTATCATCCCCTAACCACTCCCATGCCAGCCTGATTGATGTCTAACTGCTCCCCTGCCAGCTTGTTTGCCCCCAACTTCCCTTCTCTGCTGGTCTGGTGACCCCTAACTGCCCTCCCCTACAGAGTTGATCCCCTCCAACTGCTCTCCCTTGCAGACCTGGTCCCTCTCAACTTCCCTCCCTTGCAGGCCTGGTCCCTCCTAACTACCTCCCCCTACCCAGGTGGCCTTCTTGTGGTTGCCATCTTGTGTCCACATAGGGGCAGGATCTTTGACCACATGGGGGCAGATATCTTGTGTGTTGGAATGATGGCCAGTCTGCATATTATTCTTTTATTAGATAGGATAGAGGCCTGGTTCATGGGTGAGGACCAGCTGGTTTGCCCTGAAGGGTGTCCTGTATCAGGGTGGGGTGTCCCCTTGGGGTGAGCAGTGGCCTGAGCAAGGGGCCTGTGGTGGTTTGCAGGATGTTCATGCACACTGGCAACCCAAGTAGAGGCCATGGTATCTGGAATTTATTTACCTTCTATAATTGAAACTTTGTAGCCTAGATCAGAGCCAAGCCTCCTGCTTGCTCCATGGCTGCAGCTATTTCTGTTTGGATTTGTTTATCTTCTATAATTAAAATTTTGTATCCTTGAGTGTTGGGAGGCCTAGGCCGACCAGGGTGTGTGGAAAGCTTGGCTTCCTCTATTGCCAGGAAAACCCAAGCCTCTCAACTGCTCTCTGTGGCTGCAGCCATCTTGGTTGGGGTTAATTTGCATACTCACTCTGATTGGCTGGTGGGTGTGGCTGGTGGCTGTGGCATAGTGACAGTTAATTTAAATATTACTCTTTTATTAGGTAGGATACTATATTTTGAAATTTCTTGAAATTCACATTTTTTTGTGTGTGTCAGTTGACCATGTCATAATGTAGAAATCTATAATATTATCCCCAAAAAATTAAAAACAGTAATGTGAGGCAAAAAGTCTCATACATTTACAAAAGATTTAGCAGATTTTGGTATTATTACATATTTTTTCTTTAAACCCCTTTAATCCCAGCATTCCAAAAAGATCTACCTCTGGCTATGTAGTCTTTTGTAGACAGACCCCCCTGGCTTCTCAACATTCATCTTGCTGAGTTCTTTCTTGTTTTCTTTTACTTTCCTCACCCCTCCATTGCAGTTGACACTTAAAAACTTCATCTCTGGTATTTTCAGTTAGCTATTTGCCACTAGTAAAGTTAGCATTCCTTTCTCTGGTGCTAATTGCAAGCATGTTGTAGTTCTCTCCTGAACGAACAAACAGCGCCATTTGCTCCCTTAATTTCACAAAGGACGTGTGGAGATTTTTGCCTCTATCCTCTTTCCATCCTCTTTGTTTAATAGGAACCAGCTCCATAAAATACCTGTGGCTTTAAATATAACTTTAACCTATAACTATTATATGTTTTATTGTCAATATTATTGGCTAAAATGTTTTGTTCAAGCTTGTGTCCATGATTATATACAGAGCTTTATAATTTTTCTCTTATACATTGTTTTGTAAAATTTTAAAATGGCGCAATGATTTTTATGTGTCTACTATTCATATAATTAATATAATTCTTCAAAATTTCTCTTTCATAAGGCTGTTTTGTCCTCCAGTAGAATACGATATTTCTCTCTTACACCTTATTTAGGTTTGCACTTCTTTTACATTGGTAGCATTCTCGTGTTCAGTTAACATTTCTTTGTACAAATACTTTATGATCAATAGTATTTTATTTTAATTAAATTATTTACATGGTCAATATTTGAAATGTTATTAATATAATTATTCTATATGGACTGGGTATAACACATCCTATATTTCCTAGACACTTATAGTCTTTCAATATATTTTTGTGGCAGAAAATTTTACCCTCCCTACACTTTATAATCAAGGCCATTGCATTTCAGAATTTATAGATAACTTAAATTAGAGTCTGTAAACAAATAATCTTGTGATTAACACTCAGGTATGTCTTCCCTAAGGCCCAATCACTTCCATCTACCTCATTCTGCCCTCACTTCCATATTTACCAGATTTATAGATTCGTGAATCCTAAGATGATACCAACTTAATATCTGCCCCATATATGGCATTAACAATCGTCAAGTATCAGTAAAAATATACTCATTACACATTGGATATATCATTGCATGATGGCCAACAGTGTATAGAAAACAGCATGAACTCAACATGCTTCCTCAGTTGGAGTGAAAATCCTAGCATTCTATCTTTTGGGCCAGACAAGAGTTTTGCATGAGATTTGGAATGTGCTTTATTCACAGATAATGTTTCTTGGAGACATCCCAAACGGGGCTCTCTTTTTATTATTAAACTTATCGAAATTTTGCAAGAACATGCCTGGTCCTGTGACGTGGAGGAAATTTTCCGAAAGGTAAGGCTCTCAATGTTTTCCATACTCTTATTTCCCTGGATACTTGACTATTCCAGATGGAAACCTAGGGAGCACCTCTGGACAGGTTTATCTTTCAGAAACGTTCTTCTTTCCAAATTAGCTTGGAGTTTCTTTGCTGAGTCAGCAAGCCTGAAAGGCAGATCCCATTTGCTATGATCTAGAAATCAACACCCAGAAAATAATAATTGATTTTTTAACTCCCATCAAACCCTAAGTAGACAAACAACTGGACTTTGATTTCCTCGTGTCCATAGCTTTCAGATCCAGAAACAGATTTCAACAGTCTGGTCATTCCATGCTTAGATATGTATATTATTATGATTCTTACAGATGCACAATCTTTTTGCTTTCGTGATTTATTTCACTCTACTTTCTGTAATTTTTCAAGCTTAAGTGAAGGTTCTTCTCGTCAAGAAAAGAAAAATATAGGTTCTCTTTTCCCTTTAGGTTCGATTTTCATTTGAGTCCCCGGATGGCAGGGCACAGATGCCCACTACTGAAAGAGTGACTTTGACAAGATGTTTCTACCTCTTCCCAGGATATTAATATAAGTAAGTTGTATCAGTGTCAATGCACAGATGTGTGTGTGTGTGTGTGTGTGTGTGTGTGTGTGTGGATGTGCGTGTGTGAGCACGTGTGCGCGCGTGCCAACATGGGCCCGCACAGGTGGGAAGGGTGGGTGAGGTTGGGGAAGAAAGCCTCAACTTCATCCTTATCAAGGTCTCAAGGCCTCAGGTAGTAAATGGGAGCTACTAAAGGATGCTTTCTGCTGGTTCGTTGCAGAGCATGCTGCTCTTGTCTCAAAGTTCAGCAGTCAGAAGTCCCTTTCTCAGGGTCAGCTGATATAGACTGAGATGTGGCCATGAAATGATGAAAGTTTGGTTTTAGATGTCTCTCTCTTTCACACAGTAGGGCAATATTTAGACATAGCATGGTCTCTTCCTTCTGTCTCCATGAGTAGAGTGGTCTTTTAACTTGCATTTCTTTTAGCAGAACACTTTTAAAAAATATTTCTGTGTGTGTGTGTGTGTGTGTGTGTGTGTGTGTGTGTGTGTGTGTTTTCTTGTAGGAAACCAGGATCCTGTCATTTTTGGAATTATGACTGCAGGAAACACACATTTCTTTCAACGTTCTAATAAATCTGAAATTTAAAAAATAAAAAAGTTGTTATGCTGTTTTTCTACTCTGAGAAGATATGGAATGGGATTTGGAACTTATAATGGATCTGGAGACCTTATACTTGACCCATGATCAATGAACAATCTAATAGCACCATTCTTTTTTCTTTTTTCTTTCTTTTTTTTTTTTCTAGAAACCATTCTCTGGGCTTTCAGGTATAGGGATACAGATGCCAATCACAGTAGCCACCTGACTTCAAAGAATCTGCTGCTCAGCAGGAGGGATGCAGAGTATGATAAGTGATGTATCCAAAACCCTAGAGTTTACCACTACCAGAAACTCCATATTTTGATCCTTTCTTAAGGCATTTTAGGCCTGCAAAGTAATTTTGACTCAACTCCAGGCAACTCACAGTTTATAGTGCTATTGGGAACAGAACCCAACAAACACAAAACAATTGGCTGACCATATATGACACCCCATATATTGTATACAAAATAATATTCTTATGAGGTGCATTGGTAATGAGTTTGAGGTAAAATCCTCCAGTCTAGACTTGGAAAGCACTGAAACGACTACCTTTCACATCCAATTTGAGCCTTTCCTAATCCTAATCCATTAGGAGTTGAGGTGAATTTCTGAACTTTTGAAAACCTTACAAGTTGAATGTCAAATTTTTTTCTCTCCCACTAACTTAATCTTTTGTACATTTGTTTTACTGCAGCCTGAGACAGCTTCTCTAATGACTCATTGTTCAGAGAATATAAAAAAAAATGGTAGTGAGAAGTCACCTTGCAATCAAGGGGACTAGCAAGGCTAGCCCCTTACCCACACAGTTTTCCCAGGCTTGTTTGGATAGCGGTTATCAGTACAATGAGAGCAACCTTTCAATGGCTACCTGTAGTCCTCCTGATCCAGCTTTCCTGTCTTTCTTTCTTTTCTCAATTCTCACCTCCCTACCTCAGCCAGGTTCAACCTGTCAGGCTGGCCCTGGCAGTCACCCTCAATGAAGATTAACCATGTAGGCAGGTTTAGGCAGTTACAGAAAAGCATGAGGAGAGTGGAGACACAGATTCCTTCAGACCTTATCCACAAAATCTCAAAATCACAGGGAGACAGGGAGGGGATGATACCAGCACAGTGGAAACAGAAAACAGAAGCTATTTTGCATAATTCTTATCTGGAAATACAAGAAGATCTGTTAGTTTTAACTCCCTCATGAGTTTATGAGTTTTAAGTGAGCAGAGGAGAAATACTGAGGGGTCAGAAAAAGGACAGTGAGAAGGAAGTGTGGGGAAAACAAAGTGAAAGAAGGAAAAGGGGGGAGGGAAACAGAGGTGCCAGCCAATAGGAAAATGTTACATCATTTACATTTCTTTTCCCTGAAAGGAAGAAAATTTTCTTCCCAAGGGATTTTCCCGAACTGTCCCGTGAACTCAAAATTCTAAGATGCAGTTGCCAAATGTCTGGTTAGTTGCCCCACCCCCTGCAATGAGGAAATGCCAGAAAGTTTCATTTTCGAGCTTGTGACTTGCTTCCCAGCAGCAGGAAGGGGCTGAGGCTGGTGGCACCCATGGCTGGTGAGTAGGGGTCTTTTCTGGCTAAGGGTCAGGGGCTTGGGTCTTAGGAAGCTTTCTATTGCTCCCGACAAACACAAATAACAAAAAAGGAAACAGGAGCCTGTGGCTTGCTTCCCCTTATTAGCTCTGTGTAGCTTGAATCACCCAGGGACATTGCCTTAGAAAGATGGAAAGCAAGGTTTCCAGGTATTTTAGAACCAGGAAAAGTTAATTCCTTTCTTTCAGCTCATGGTAATAAAGGGGAGGGAGAAGACAAACAGAGTAAGTTCTTTTTGTGTGAGGCAACTCTTGAACAGTCTTAATGCCTTCTGAGATCTTCTTGCTTCTGGCTGTTTCCAAATTAGTTATCTGGGTGAGAAACTGCTCCCAGGATCCCATAGGCCAACTTTGAACTCCTGCCCCTTTGCCATCTCCTGTCTTGAATTACATACTTGGTCCTTTGAGGTGACTGTTTCCCCCTTTTCTCTCTAGTCCTTGTGCTAAGGACTCCAGTGCAGTTTTTCCTAGATCACTATCACAGGTTTTTAAGGAATCGGATCTTCCTCTCTCCAGGTTTTAATCCTCCAATCCATCGTGTTGATAATACACAGAAGCTGAAAAAGCAGGAGATTAGCTATGTATGCAGCTAATAGTCAAACACGTCATAACACTTTTTGTTTGTTTGTCTCATTCTCTTAATTTGAAAGAAAGGGGTTCAACTAGGTCATCAGTTTCTAAACTTTATAACAAATCTGAATAATGTATAGTCATGTTTAAAAGTTCATGTGATCCTGCCCCTGAATTTCTCCACCTTAATTAGACAGTAGGCATTTCTAGCCTTATAAAGATTTGCCGATAATTCTTATATAACTGATCTGACACGTGTTTGTTTGCAGATTAGAATCAATAGGAAAAGTAATTAGTTATCTTTCAGTTCTCACATTCTAGGTATCTCTACATGCAATTTCCTTACTCAGAAACTACATTGAGGTTCCCTGTTGCCTTCTTAAAAATGTCTGAACATTTCAGAAAGGTTTTTCTGCCTTTCAAAATATGTTTATCCATTTTTCCATTACTCTCTCTAAATTATGAAAATATGAATTCAACTTCACAGCAAATATATTTAATGTATGTATCTTCTCTACTATATAATAAGAGAGAAATATACTAAATATCAGTTACACCCTGAGGCATAATGACCGACCTTGTAATGACCAGATCACAGATCTGCAGGAGGGTGGGGTAGCGAATTATAAGTGGGCCGTGGAGACCTACAGGAGGGAGCAGGGCAGCAAGCTGTGAGGGGAGGAAAAAAGGGAGTGGGGGAAACTACAGGAGGGTGGCAGCGACCTAGTGGTCCATAGATTCATGTGCAGGGCTACTAATATATATATATTGCTCTTCATGATATAATCTCTCCAGGGTTTATGACTTTATGACTTATCTCATGGCATTTATCTTAAGTTCCTATAATACAAAATTGATTGTATTCTTGTCTTCTTCATGAAGCTGGAGAGTAGTGGGTAAAACTCACACTCAGGGCTGCGTCTTTGCCTGGGCAGGATGGTCTCACTGATTATTACAGTGGAATCAGGGCATCATTAGACAATAGATGTGAGAAACTGAAAGGCAAGAGACAAAAACAAATAAATGGTCTAATAAATATAAACAACCTAATTTGGTTAGCTACTATTATACAATTAACAAGGACAAGGAAAAAAAATTGCTAGCTTAGTGAGAAATAGGCATCTGGAGCATATACTCTGTCTAGTTTGGGAGCATCATTTCCCCGAAGGAAGTGACATCTCATCTGAGATATAGAGAATAAGGGAGCAGTGGGGAAACAGGAAAGAATGTGGGTGTGGGATACTGTGCACATAGAGCTTCCTAAGTAAGAGCCTTCTAGAAGCAATGTAAGAAGAAAGGTGGGTAACTGACAGAGGATGAGGATGAATGAATGAGAAGACCTACATTAGATTAAGCTCAGAGGTTTCATGATCAAATCTAGATTTTAACACCCTAACACTACTTCATTGTGGAGAACAGATTAGAAGGATCCAAAAGTAAATTTATAAATCTCCTGAAGTAATGAAGAAAGGAAGGATGTTGGCCTGAAATGTAATATTGTACAATTAAACATGAGAGAAGTGGGCAGATTCTGTAAAATTTAGCAGAGAAAACCAATACAATTTGACATGAGATGGAAAATGAGCATCTCAGAAAACAGGAGAGATTCACTATTACCACATGATGCCCTTGGTGTTTAGATATAATTCACTACTAAAGGGAACAATGCACTTGGTGTTTAGATATAATTTACTAGTAAAGGGAATAAAACATATAGGTTTAATTTAGTGATTTTTAAATCATAGAGACTGAAGTATTTAATCACAAGTCCTGGAAAGTCCTCTCTCAGTCCACATTGAACCATTCACTGATCTATGTATATAAAGATCAACTTTCTGAAGATGATTTTAATAACTTTTGGTATATTGAGAGGAGGTAGATATGTGAGTCTCCATTTTAGTATCCACATCTGGCCTGAATCCATAAATTTAGGAGTAATTTCTAATGAAGCCATGAGGATGTAGAGATGATGAAAAGTGTACCTAAGGCCAAACTCCTTGGTTGTATTGTTTACCACATTTCTCCCATGCCATTCATTCAGTCAACACTATACAACCTCGTTGAGTGCACAGATAAATGAATTGAAGCCCAGAACTCAGGTAGACTAAATCTTCCATACATTAACTGTATGCTGTTTGCAATTCTTCAAACTCTCTGTTCTATCATCTGTATACTATATTGCACCTCCATGTTTTTATTACCTTTTCTAAGAAGCCTTTGTGGTCACACCTGAAGAAATTTGAATTCCTGAAATACTTTGCATTATTTTAAGTAATTCTCCACAAATATCATGTAAGGTAGTTTGCTGACTTAAGAGTGTGTGTATGTGTGTGTGTGTGTGTGTGTGTGTGTATACAGGTGCGCACGTGTGACAGGGGGACTTTGAACCCCTGAGTTTGATTCCCTTCTCTCCACTTACTATACACACTGTGCACTAAACATACAATTTGTGTCAATTACTTAACCAATTTCTCTGGATCTCCTTATTTTATATAATAGAATTATTAAAATTCTGGTTAGATGGAGTTTTGGTAGAATATAAGAGAGAAGATTCATGCATAACACTTGGCACCAGTGGGGACTTGATAAATATGAATTATTATTACTGAAGCTGTGCTATAAAAAGAGAATGTGAATCCCAAATTGTGTGATTTGGGGCAAATGATTTTTAAATAGAGAAAATAATGGTTATCTCATTAAGTTATTGGGAGGATATAGCATATTAATGTTTGTATTTAGTACAGAGACATGTAAATAATAATAATAATAATAATAATAATAATAATAAAGATGCTTTATATTGCTTTATATGTATTTCCTTCTCAATAAATTTAAGTATGCCGAAACCAGTTTGGCTCAGTGGATAGAGCGTTGGACTGCGGACTGAGGGGTCCCAGGTTCAATTCCAGCCAAGGGCATGTACCTTGGTTGTGGGCACATCCCCAGTAGGGAGTGTGCAGAAGGCAGCTGATCAATGTTTCTCTCTCATTGATGTTTCTAACTCTCTATCCCTCTTACTTCCTCTTTATAAAACCCAATAAAATAAAATATATTTTAAAATAAATAAATAAATAAATAAATAAATTTAAGTGGACAAGAGATGTTAGCTGCGATTGATATAAGGTAACAATTAATTTATGTTTTGTTTCTTTCTCATAATTGCTAATAAATAAACATTTATTGAAATAATTCAAGATGACATGGAAAATGAGGCTAGTGTTTCTGGGCTCACGTTTTTCTTCAATGACCTGGCACATTTTCTTTAGAAAGTGTCATTTTTGTGTCCAGGCTATCCTTATATCTAGATGGACTGAATAATTATCTTAGAATTAATTGAGAATTGATGAGATATTCTGCCTTCCCATATATGTCAAAATCATACCTGTGCTCTTAAAAAATCACTTAGCACTTTGACTTTTATATTCCTCTATAAAAATTCCAACCATCCCAGGTGGTAATAAATTAACCAATTCTCAAATTAATCCACCATATTGAAAAATTAGTCATCAGATTATTTTCAACTCTAAGTTTTGATTGAGATAAGATTTTATAGTATTAGGAACCTAGAGGCATTTATTCACTTATTCATTACTTCATGTTTTCAGCAAGCTTAAAGTACTTTTAAGATTTTAAGCACAAAGATGTAACTAAGAGATGTGGATGCAAATTGTGGATTCAAAAACATAGTGCTTTCACCAAGAAAACTAATTACAGAGATAATAAATTCTGTGGTATAATGAGACAAGAGCATGGATATTTCTTGGAGTATATATATCATTACTATGGGATTAAAAAATAGAAAGAGAAATATAAGATGAGTGGATGACATTAAGCTCAATGTCAGAAAAAGAAGATAACAAGCTATCCAAAAATCTTAAGTGGCAATGATTCATTAAAAAATGCTTAGTATATAATGAAAGAGGTTTGTATTTTATTGGGGAAATGTTGAAATAGTCAGAAGGTACTTCAAGAGTATTTCACATTTTAGGGAGCTCTCTAGATATAGTGTGAAACTCTTAAGGCTTTGCCCACAGTTGAAGGAGTCTTTGTATTTCTGACAGAAGAACACAACAAAAAACCACTAAAGGCTTTGGAATCTATTGGGAAAGAACTCTTGGATGGAGCTTTGGATGTATTGGTGAAAAAAGATATTCTGAAATTGAAGGAAACTGACAAAAAAAAATTCAATGATGCCAAACATGGAGACAAGGCCCGGGTTTTGGTGAAGGCTGTGCAGCAGAAAAGCCATGAAGCAGGTCAAGTTCTTGTCCAAACCTTTCTTAACACAAACAAAAATGCCATCAGCAATGAAGGTAAGAATAGAGCTGATATTACAACAAATTTCTCAAACTATCTGGAATCTGTTTATACAGGGTAATATTGTTCTTTTAAATAAATAAAAAAAATCAGGGAGTGCCTTGATTGGTTCATGTAAATAAACATCAAGGTTTGTTCCTGTGCAAAAATCTTGTTAATTAGATCTGTCAACCCTCTCCACTATTGTTTATGAATTCTTACTCCTTCCTCAGAAAGGAGGAGTGCTAGACTTTCCCAGTCTCTTGCAAAATTTGTCAAGTGATGCCAAGCTGTGACAGATATACTTAAATTTTTGTAAGGATTGAGTCAGGATGAGTCAGAAACAAATTTCTTCAAAAGGGAGGAGTTCTTCCCTCACATTTTAAAAGTTGGGTTGAAAATTTAGTCTGGTTGATCAGAAGTTTGGAGGCAAGGACAGCTAGTGCATGTTAGAATCTCTGAGCAAAATGTTATCCCTCTAACCCTGGAATCAGTACTCTGGTGGCAAGTTAGTATTTCTCCTTGACATGGCTGACTCCACAGCTTTGCAAGGAATCTTAGCAGTCCATCTGCTCTGGACAAGTTGAGAATTCAGGCTGAGGTCCCTGAAAAAAAGTATGCCTAGATGGTACTGGATCCAGGATTCTTTTAGTTGCTTAGTGTGGGTCTCTGTCTGTGTCTGTGATTTGTATAAATTAGGAGCAGACTTGCGATGTTATACCCTCCTATATAATAAAAGACTAATATGCAAATTGTCTGTTCCACTGAGAGTTCCACAAGTGGGTGGAGCCCATGGTCCTTCCCCCTCAGCTGGCCAGACAAATTGGCCTTGAATCAGGGTGGGCCAGCCGGACCCCACCTGTTCGGGAATTTGTGTACCAGGCCTCTAGTCCAAAATAATAACTACCAGCCACATTGTGATTATAGAGTACTGGAATTGTGGCTACTAACACATGTTAAAATGGTAATAGTTTGAATATATTATGTTAAATAAAATATTATTAAAAGTAATTTCATCTGTTTACCTTTTTAATGCAAAATAGTATAAAAATTTTAATTGCACATGTGACTTAATTATGTTTCTAATGAATAGCCCTGTATTAAATATTTACTCAATATACTCTTGCTCAGTGACAAGAAACCACCCACCTAGATGAGTGAGTGCTCTAGAGTAAAATATTTCAAGGCTCGCCGAACCCGGTTTGGCTCAGTGGATAGAGCGTCGGCCTGCGGACTGAAAGGTCCCAGGTTTGATTCCGGTCAAGGGCATGTACATTGGTTGCGGGCACATCCCCAGTAGGGGATGTGCAAGAGGCAGCTGATCGATGATTCTCTCTCATCGATGCTTCTAACTCTCTATCTCTCTCCCTTCCTCTCTGTAAAAAATCAATAAAATATATTTTTAAAAAATATATTTCAAGGCTCAAGCTGTTTTAGCTGAATATAAAAATGCTAAGTTTGACCCAAGTCACCATGGAAGATGTTTTCCTCGTTATAATCATAATCTAGTATTATATTTATGGATGGATCTGCTACTAAGAATATCCCCCTTCTTTCTCAATCACAATACACCTCTTCATATTAGAGGTTACATACAAGGAAAATTCCTACATTTAAAGGTGTTTAAAATTTTTCTCATGATTTTCCTTCTCTGTCATATGTCTTAGGTTATCATGGGTAACAGATGCAGATATTAAAATTTACATCATGTGATGCCATGTGATATATCCTACAGGTCCTCCAGAAACGACTGGGCCAGCTGAGTCAGCAGAAACTACAGATACCCTCAAGCTTTGTCCTCTTGAAGATTTCCTGAAAGTGTGTAAAGAAAAGGCTAAAGAGGTACTGTGTTCTATCCATAAAATAGAGAAAGAGAGAGAAACACTTGCTCTCACTAAGTATAGGATTTCCTAAAGCACTGATTGCAGAATGGTAGGGTTGGGACAGCAAAAATCTTTATCATAGCTGCTTTGAGCAAGGAGGAACTCACATAGCCTCACACAGATTGCAATTTTCTTTCAGTCCCATGATAAAACACAGATCTCTCTGTTCATTTATTTGTTCTATCTATTTGACACTTCTTCGAATTAAGCTATAGCTATAGATCAAAATATTTAGTAATTATTTTCAAACTAGTTGAAAAGTCTAGACACAAAACATGACTTAAATATAATTAAAGCTTGAAATCTGTTTTATCTTAGTGTGTTAAAAATAACACTGAAATAATGAATTTACCAAATGAACTTCATCTATGATGTATTTATTTTTAGTTGGAGTCATTGGAAAATGTCTCCTGCTTTTTATGAAATTTGATCTGAACCTTGAACACTGAGAATGATTTGTCTAGGTAGAGAAGAGAGAGAAAAGGTTATGGTTGGAATGGTTCTAGTCCCTTCAAGATTCTTGCATAAATATCCCAAATATGTTCTAGGTCCACTTCTGGGCTCTTGGAAAATCAATTACATTCTTTTATTTCTTGGTCTATTTTTATTTTCCTATAATGCGGAAATGCAAAATCACTTTCAATTCTCACTTCTTTCTTTTGTCAGTTCAATCCATTACAAAGAAAAAACAGGGTCTCTGGTACAAGCGAGGAGACACTGCAGATCTATGAGCCTCTAGAGATTAGTATGTGAAGGTTTAAAAGAGATAAGTAAAACAAACTCACTGCATATCTATTTCCTGCAGATCTATCCAATAAAAGAGAAAACGAGCCGCACTCGCCTGGCTCTCATCATATGCAATAGAGAGTTTGGTCATCTTAAGCCCAGGAAGGGGGCCGAACTTGACATCACAGGGATGGAAGAGTTGCTTGTGGGCCTCGGCTACAGTGTGACTGTGGAAGAGAACCTCACAGCCAAGGTAGGGGCTCCTCACCCACCCCAAACAAGCACATATTCTACACACCCTCCTGCTAACAAATTAACTTTATAAGGATAGCCAGATACTTTACCAACCTTAGGCCACATATCTCTCTGTGTGTGCACATGCATGTGAGTATGTGTGTTTATAAGATGAAATTATTAGAAAGGGGAACTCTCTGTCTCCTTTGAGCTCCAAATATCCCCAATTCCATAAAACTAGACACAAAGTGACTGGCATTCATACCCACATAATTCTTGTATCCAAAGTGGGGTAATTAGGATTCAGACTCAATATTCCCAGGAAATTCTACAGTAATGAATGTTCAAAAGGAATGTACTCGCCATGTAAATATTGAGTCCTAACTTGATCTCAGGGTCTATTTTTGGTGCTGAGGGTAGGTCAGTGAATGAGACCAGATATTCCAAGTTCAAATTGATTTAGGTTTACTGGTCAGGGGTCAATCATATAAAAAGAAAAACAGAAAATTTCAGAGATTTGATGTGTCCTGTGTCTCTCTGTAAGAGTGAAAATAAAGTTAAAAGTAAGTGGAAAAAGAAAAGACAACATAAAAGTGCATTGGTGAGTGGGGAGTAATTTCTTTGATGGAACTGTCAGAAAAAGCCTTGTCAGGAGACAGTATGGGACCTCACAGATGACTACTAGTAACAAGAGAGCTCTGGGAACATGTGAATGCAGTACATTCCAATGGGGATGACTACCATGAGAAGTCTGAACTACAAATGGAACTGGCATGTGAAATATACAAAAAGACCAGTGTAAGGAGAGCTTTGAGAGGGTGGCAGGAGGGAGTACACATATGTCAGAAGGTTGATGTTATTCTAAGTACAGTAGCAATGGCTATTGAAGGGAAATGGTATGATACATTTATAATGCATGCCTCCTATTAAGTAATTAACAGAAGACAGAAATAGAAAGGAACAGTATGTAAGTAAAAATAAACAAATGTAAATGACATCAAGAGGGCAGCTCATATAATGTTAGAAGGAGCAGGTCCTTGAACCCCCAGCTCCACTGTCAGAAGACAAACAAAACTATCATTGAGCACCACTATCTGAAACACAGTGACTGGAACATTGCAGATTCTTATACTCTCAGGACAAATGGGGGATCAGATTGGTGGTAATGCTGGTCCTTTTAGAGTAAGTTTCCGTGGCCTTTTTCAGGAGATGGAGTCAGTGCTGGTGACATTTGCTGCTCGTTCAGAGCACAGTACCTCAGATAGCACATTCCTGGTGTTCATGTCTCATGGCCTCCTGGATAGACTCTGTGGGACTGGGCATAGTGCTGAACACCCAGACGTGCTGCCTTATGACACCATCTTTCGGATATTCAACAATCGCAACTGCCCCAGTCTCAAGGACAAGCCTAAGGTCATCATTGTCCAGGCCTGCAGAGGTGGTGAGTTCTGACAGGGAAAATCCAAAGGGCATGAGGGGTTTGCAATGGTTTGTAATGCATGATTTGCTTTTGGGGAAAACAATGCTAGACCACATTCAGTGCAAATGAAGTGAATTAAATTCTTGGGAAACTCCACAGGGTGTTGGTATCACGTGTGACTGTTTTTTCAGCTAAGAAATATCTAATCAATTTAACACAAGGTAAGGGTGAAGGAGATCTTCAGAATCCCTAAATCAAAGTTGAACACAAACATTTAAACCTTGGAATAATGTCATGTTAATGACAGCCCTACTGGCCAATGTCTCACAGGCATGTTGACATTCTCTGGCTTGAGAAGAATTCCCTTGGAAAGTGGGGCTGTTCTATAGGAGCAGCACCCTTTCTGCTCAGGTGTTACTGAAAGGGAAGTGAGTAGGGAGATGTGGGCACTTGGCTTTGCTGTCAACATTTCCTTTGTTTTTGCTGACTTCCAATGGCCTCTTAGCATTTTGGAATCAGTGTTAGGAGGAAAAAGCAGAAATAACCTAGCTAGAAAAAAAAAAAATGGTAACCAGGCTCTTAAATTATGTAGATAACAATTTTAAGTCTTTTGCTCTTCTTAGGAAAGGGGTTTTTCCAGTTGACAGATACTATTACTATTTGCTTAAAAGATGTTGCCACTATTAATTGGCACATTGGGCAAAGACACTAGAGAGAGGCCATGGTATGTATTTGGAGCAAGGCTTTAGTGTGTGAGTGTGTGTGTGTGTATGTGTGTGTGTGTGTGTGTGTGTGTGTGTGTGTGTGTGTGAAATTGGTGAGAGTAAACATTTCAAAAAAATGAGGTAGACCATGTGACAGCCATACTGAGGGAGGCACACAGTTTGCACAAAGTTAATGTCTCTACAGAAAACCGCGGGGAAACCTGGGTCAGTGACTCTCCAGCAGCCGTGATGGACAGCTCTTCACAGTCAGCTGAGAGCCTGGAGGACGATGCTGTTTACAAAGCTCACGTGGAGAAGGACTTCATTGCTTTCTGCTCCTCAACCCCACGTAGGTCGTCCAGTAACAGACAAGGGTTTGTGGGTCTATGGCCCCCTGGGAATGAGTCTATTATAGAATAATGCAATAGTATCCCTGTAGCAGGGACATAAGACACATTGTGAGGGCTTTCAAAACCATTTACATTTATCTTGATCTATTCTATGGAAACAGAGTGTCTATATTTTCCACTTTTTAAAACTGTACTTTTATTATAAGTGGTTCATTTTACAGTCAAAGGTATACCAGATATTAAAACAACCCAATACAAGGAATCTGATCCCCATACATCATTTAAAAAACAAATTACATTCCATTTTCTACCAAATCTGTTTAACATTTTGAGTGGGGTTTTAATGGATCCTGAGATGGCTGCCCTCTGTAAATTACCAACACCATCTCCTTTTCTCCTTGGTTCTCATTAAATGCTCTTTATGTGAATCACTGGAGGGCTCTGCAGGAGGAAATCCTTGAAAGGAGGTATAAAATTATACCCTACCAGGCCTAATAATAGGGATCAGTGTTTAGTCATTGACCTCTAGGTAGCTGTCTTAAGAAGCCCCTTACATTTGAATGTTTTTCTACTTTGCAAATTTTTGTTTTAAGTCTTTTCTTTTTATAACCACTTCATGGGTATTTTTTATTTTCCCTTACCCAAGGAGTTAGGATATTTTTTCCATTAATTTTGGAGACAGCAGAAAGGACTGGGAGGGGAGAGAAGCGAAGGTAGAGAGAGAGAAACATCCATGTGACTGAGACACATCAATTGGTTGCCTCCCACATGCCCCATGACCAGGGGGCAGGGATCAGACCTGCAATCCAGGTAGGTGCCCTTGACCAGGAATGGATCCTGAGACTCTCCAGTGTGCAGACCATGCTGTAACTCAGCAACAGGTAGGGCTCATGTAGGTTTCATTGACATACAAACTGCTGTATATATACTCAATATACATAACACAGCGAGTTTGCACATAATATAAGCCAGTGAAACCATCACCACAATCTATGCCATAATTATATGCCCCTCTCAAGGCTTCCTTTGGATTTGGTCACCTAACTTATTTATGCTATTGTAAAAGACAGTCTGATGTATACCCTGTAAACAACCTGGAAGCCAGGGAGCCATTTTTCTTGCTTACTGTATAAGTGTGGGGAAATTCTTTAATCTGCTGAGTGTCTATTATTTCCTTTGTAAAACGGGATTCTTTCAGTTATCTCTCAAGCTGCTCTTCAAATCCAAGCGAATGAACATGAAGCACATAGTAAGAGTCAGTTCCAATAATATAGTGTAATCATTGTGATATCCTGGTGAGTTATTCTTTTAGTTAAAACCCTGCCAGTTTTTTGTTTTCTTCTCTTTTTGGAAAATTAGCTAATGAAAAGATATGTTTCCCCTAGTCCTGCCAAGTTGATTCCAAAACTATGCTTAAAAAAACACAAAAATTTCATAAAATAAATGTGTGATTAAAAAAAAAAAAAAAAAAAATTCAAGGGCACAGCCCAAGGCTGACCACCCCTTATCTTCCTAGATAACGTGTCCTGGAGAGACCCTAGTACAGGTTCTCTCTTCATCACAAAGCTAATCAGATGCTTCCAACAGTATTCTTGGCGCCTTCACCTCGAGGAAGTATTTCGGAAGGTAAGCTTTTTCCCCCCTGCCTTTTCTAATCGTGTGTGTGTGTGTGTGTGTGTGTGTGTGTGTGTGCAGAAAGCCTTACTCTTATTCTTATTTCAAATGACAATGACAGGCTTTGTCAGGCAAACAAAAGTAGAATAGTGCCTGGTTTCCAAGGGTTGACATCTGATTTAGGAAAAGAAGATGTCAATGCAAAATTGCACTAGATCAAAATAGAACAAAATAATGTAACATGTAAGCTTATTTGTTATGGGCTATACATTTTCTTTAAAGTCAAAGAATGGAAAGTATTTTGAGGTGATTTGTATAGCTTACTTTATTGAAAAAAATATATATTGGGTGTTATTGTACTTGGTAATTATTGCTAACTTGTGACATTGATGTAAATGGCATATTGTGTCATAAATTGACTCAAGACCTTTTTGTGAGAGAGAGATGGATACTAAACAAGTAAGCCAGCAAACGCATGAGTCATTACAGATTGTGAGAGCCTCCATAACACAAAAGACCTAGGGCAGGTGAAAGAAAAAAAGGGAGAAGATATTCCTTGAATGAAGTGGATCAGAATGGAAGACCAAATTCCTTTCTCAACTCAGGAAATTCCTTATTCCCCCTTCTCCTAATTTGTTTTCCTCCATGGTTCCAACCACCACTCATTCTTCAAAAACTTCTGTTTGCTTTTACCTTTACTTACTCACTTGAATGCAAGCTTCATAAAGGCAGAAATTTGCTCAACACCTCAACATGCTGGCACATAGGAATTGATATTAGTTCAATAAATCAATGCATGAATATCAAGACCTCTCTCCCTTTAGGGTATTAAGAGGATGGGGCAGCCAAAACCGGTTTGGCTCAGTGGATAGAGCGTCTGCCTGCAGACTAAAAGGTCCCAGGTTCGATTCCAGTCAAGGGCATGTACCTTGGTTGTGGGCACATCCCCAGTAGGGGGTGTGCAAGAGGCAGCTGATCGATGTTTCTCTCTCATGGTTGTTTCTAGCTTTCTATCCCTCTTTCTTCCTTTCTGTAAAAACTCAATAAAATATATTAAAGAAGAAGAAGATGGGGCAGTAGGGCTGTTTTTTATTTTTATAAAATATATTTTTATTGATTTTGAACAGGAAGGGAGATGGAGAGAGAAATAGAAATATCAATGATGAGAGAGAATCATTGATTGGCTGCTTCCTGCATGCCCCCCTTCCCCCAACTGGGTATTGAGCATTGCCTGAAATTTAACCCAGTATCCTTAAGGCTACAAAGATTCAATTATACACAATAAATAAATCCCAACAAAAATGTCAGCCACCATGGTGCTGGAGAGAGCAGAAGGCATAGGATACCCCAGTGATGGAGGAAGCCAAGCTTTCTGGCATGCCTAGGCCTTTGCTCAAGGATACACGTTCCAATTATAGAAGATAAATAAATCCCATATACCAGGGCTTCTGCTTAGGTCACTGGGGGGCATGGCTGGCCTGAAAACCACCACAGATCCTTGACCTAGGCCACCCCATGTACAAAGGACCCCCACCCTGATCTCGGACACCCTTCAGGGAAAACCATAGGGCTCCCACCCATGCACCAGGCCTCTAGCCTATCTAATAAAAGAGTAATATGCAAATTGGCCATCACTCCAACACACAGGATGGCTGCCCTCATATGGACACAAAATGACCACCACAAGATGGCCAGCAGTGGAGGGACCATATCTGGAAAGAAGAGCAGTTGTGGGCAATCAGGCCAGCAAGGGACGGCAGTTAGGAGTGACCAGGCTGGGAGAGGAAGAAAGTTGAGGGCAACTGGGTCTGCAGGGAAAGGCTGTTGCACAGGGATCCAGGCCTGTCGGGGAGAACAGTTGGGTGGGGTAACCAGGTCTGCAGGTGAAAGGTGAAAACAGTTAGGGTGACCAGGCCTTCAGGGGAGTACACTTAGGGGCAATTAGGCTGGAAGGAGAGTAATTAGGCATCAATCAGGCTGGCAGGGGAGTGGTTAGGGGGTGATAAGGCTGGTAGAGAAAGTGATTGGAGGCAATCAGGAAGGCAGGCAGGCAAGCAGTTGGGAGCCAGCAGTCCTGAATTTTGAGAGGGATGTCCAACTACTCATTTAGGCCTGATCCCTCGAGGGGTGCCAGATTGGAAAGGTTGCAGGCTGGGCTGAGGGACACCCTCCATGCACCAATTTTATATACCAGGCCTCTAGTATTATAGAAAGCTTCATTTCTGTGCAGTTGTACCTCTGAGTTTCCAAGGTCCCATTTCCTTTTGTCCTGTCAAGAAAGAAGTACCATTTTGTTTTCAGCAGATCTGAAATCAGAGCCAGTGTCCAGAGTTTCTATTCAATGTCTCCACAGTCAAATAGAGCATCAACATAGAGTAATTTTTGTTTCCAGTTGTAGTCCATTACATTTGAGGTCCACATGGCTGAGGGACCTGAGCTATGGAGACAACAGAGACATGAATGAATCCAGAGGAGCATGACAGCAAAGAAAGCCACACAAGAGAGCTTCTTTATCTGCTGGTTTATGCATTCCCAAAATGTGTGCAGACTTGCAATGGCCCTGTCAATCTAGCCAAATCCATTGCTCCCCAGGCTTCATTGACAAGCTCTTTCCCTTGTCATACCAACTGTGCATATGTGCCTTCATCTTCCATTTCATAGCTCCCTTCCTCCAGTGGTCCACAGGGAATGGGCCTGTGAAATTGCAGCTTCCTGGTGAAGCTGCCTAAATAGCATGCCTAAAGTATCTTGTCTCTCCCCTCTGCTCCTTTTTTATTGTTAATACCTAGTGAATTGCAATGATATTAATAGAATCTCATTTATATCTCCATGACAAAAAAAACTAGAGGGTAAGCTTGTTGGATAGGATGTGAAAGTTGTTGTGCTCAGGTTTTAGAAACAATATTTAAGTTTGTGCCTTATTGAATTCAAGATTAACCTTGGATGTTGAAGGTAGAGCATTTTTGAGATCCAGTTTTCATGAATTTACTCCAGGACATCAGTTAAGATTTGTAGACCTGAAATCCAAAATAAGAAAGTGAAGTTTGAAAGGCCTTGGGTTAGGCATGAGGTGCTTATTTGGAGATAAAGAGTAATTCTGACATGGGGAGCTACTTCTAAACATAGGGTTAACAGTGACAGAGAGTTAGAATGTCCATTAGCTTGGTCCCATCATTCCCAGAATTGTTTTGGCTCATGGTGCAAAATGTTTCCCAAGAGTGGAAGAGTTAAATTTCATCTAGAACCTCTTTTTTTCTTTCTTTTAAAGGTACAACAATCATTTGAAAAGCCAGATGTTAGAGCCCAGATGCCCACCATTGAACGAGTATCCATGTCAAGACATTTCTACCTCTTTCCTGGCAATTGAAAATAGTAAGGATTAAAGTTGTTGACATGTATAATAAATGGGAAAGTGATATTGGTGGTGAGGTTCAATGCCTAATGACAGCCAATTGCTTGAGTAGTCAAATTAATGTTGCTTATTGATGTACTTTAGTGACTAGATGTTATTTTTTTCTCTACTTATATGAATATGGATCATCCTCATCTAGATAATCAGTTAATAAGTCTGCCAATCAAGGAGATAAATCATACTAAGACAGGAAGTAATAAACAATCAGGTTAGTAGTTAATAAAACAGAAATATACTCATACTTCCATTGTTACTTGATATTTTTCTCTCTCTCACCACACACACACACATACACACACACACACACACACACACACACACACACACACACCCTGAGTTACCAAATATTGCCTCAGATCCTGAAAAACAAAAATAAATAAATAAATAAATAAATAAATAAATAAACAAAAAAAAAAATAGATAACGAACAGGTAGCAGGACATTGGTCCTATAAGTGCAGACATCACATTACTGAGTTTGAGCTCCTATTTTCAAGACAGTATAAAATATACCCTGAAGTGTAATTCTTGTGTTGATGTAGATTCTGACTCCCTGACTGTTCTCACAATGTAGATTGCAGAGTATGCTCTCAGATCCTTAATTTCTGCTCTGAAATCCTTTCAAGCACCCATGGTAACACACATTTATTGTTTTTTGATAAATATATCTTAGAGTGGGTCCAAGGAATTTAAATCCAGCTATTATTTCACTCACTCATAAGAGTTTAATATTACACTATAATGTAAGTATATTGTTAATCTCTTTTTCAACAGCATGATTAAAATTATATTTTATAATAAAGTTTATCTCATTACTTTAAATCTTTACCCACAATCTTCCACTACTGGTTTGTGATTCCCAGGTAGAATAATTGCATTGATGGTTCATCAGAATAGCATTTATTGCCTAATTAGTATTAGAAAACCACATTAGGGATTGAGCTAGTTGACTAATATTTATCAAGCACTTACTATATTCCAAATTCTGTTCTATAATATTGAAATATACAAGTATACAAAATAAATGAAAGCTTTGCTTCAGAAAGCTCATACTCTAGTAAGTGGTGACAGACTATAAATACACAAACAAGTAAATATATGTGAGAATGATAAAAGCTAAGAAGAAAATAAATTGATAAAATGATAAAAGAGATGGGTGTTGTACTTGCTGTAATATATGGATTATTTGAGAAAGACTCCTTTGAAGAGATAAAATAAATCAGAACAGAGAGCAGGGCAGTGAACCTTGTGATTCATTGCAGAACAGTGTTCTAGCACCCCTAGGACTAGCAAGTACAAATGCCCTGAGGCAGAAATGTGCTTCACATCTTTAAATACCTGCCAAAAGGCAGTGCACTGGGGGGAATGGCAGGCACATTCAGAAAATGGTGAAAAGTCTGGTCACATGGGCTTGGTGATCACATGGTAACTTCTAAAATTGTCATCCTGGATGAGATAGGAAAGCCTTTGAGTTCTTGTGAACAGAGAAATGAGAATTAATTAGATTTACGAACAACACTTTGTGAACTGTTGGTGAATATACTGTAAGGGTCACAGAAGTAAAGGAAGTGGCAAAAGCACATAGAAGAGGATGAAAGGGGAATGATGGTCAGGGGTGGGTTGAAGGCTTCTGGGAATTACTATCCTCACCTTCTGTATTTTGTGTTTTGTTTTTTAATTATTTTCCCTTCTTTTACAGGGAATTACAGTCAGTCCTGCCCTTCTTTACCAAATTCTCGAAGCACCTTTACCAGTATGGAATACATATTTAAACTTTTGTATTTAAATAAAAAATGAAAACACATAGAGTGTGTCTTTGGGTCCGTTAATAGACTGGCATTTCAATGAAAAGGTGGGTGTGTGGAAATGAAGTGGAGTGAGCTATCTGCATTTTCCAGCTTAGGACTCATGCACTACCTGCATTTCCCTGAGTGCAGAGAGCTGGCCGTGTCTGTCCCTCAGCAGCTGTGCCTAGGTGGAAGACAGGAACTGTAACCTGGTCAGCACCTCAGCTGTATCCTCATCCAATCCACGTCCAGTGTGGTTCAGAGAAGTTTTTAATTTATTATTAAACCAACATCATAGATTCAGAGATATTTTTCATCACTAAACCATGAATTTACAAAATTAGTCCTATGTATCTTTCTATCAGTATATTAACTTTCTTATTTTCTTTCCATATGATTGCGTATTTCCAAACTTCTGCAACATTTTATTCTTTAACAAGCTCTTGGATATTGTCTAAAATAATTTGGCACCTGGTTCAAGATGGCAAGACCATACAGTATTTGAATAGAAATACAAATATCATCATATAAAAAAATGGAAAGAGAATGGGGAGTGTCAGCAAAGGGAGAGAGAATATTAAAATTTCTGGAAAGGTGAACATTGGTAGAGGAATTTTCCCACCATGATTATCAGAGCTACTAAGTAAGGATATGTACTACTTCTATTATATATAACCATAGAATATTGAGTAAATATTTGAGTACATAGCTGAAATGAATTAAAATAAGATATTCTCAGTTTCAAATATAACAATAATTATTAATATATATTAAAATATTAATAATTTAACTATAATATTTAATATTAATTCTATATTAATATTAATTTTAATAATTTTGATTACTGTAAAGGATTTTATATTTAAGAAACCAATTTGACCATCACAGCAACCCTGTAATGTAATCACTATCAATATCTCCATTCTACTGATAATAAAACAAAGTAATACAGAGTTTAAATGATTTGCCAAAAGTCACTCAGTTAGTAGATGGATACACCATGATTTGAACTCAATTTGACTTTCTCTAGAATCTGAGTTATTGACCATTGTTGTGTATTATGTCTGCAAAATCATGAAAAACAGAAACTATACGAGTTCTGAATTGTAAGGTTTAATTGACTTATGAAATGTAATGTTAATTTATACTACAAAGATTCATAATATTTATATTCCTGGACTTGGCTGTCTGTATAGAAACATGAAACACAACACAAAGATCTAAAAACACATATTATGAAGCATTCATTCTTCTACTGTGTGGTAATATTAAAAATCCAATAACATAAAGATTTTCACACATCACTATACAGTTGGAAGAAACACACACACATGCACATATATATTAATATTGCATATATATACTAGCTGCATACACGTGTAAGCATATAAAAACAAGATAAGCATTAGACATGATGACTTAGAAAAATACTGAATGAACCAATAGGAAAATACTAAAATGAAAAGAGATCTTAAAACAAAAATCATTGAGATGTCCTGAAACAAACAAAAAATTTGAACAGATCAAGAAAAGCAAAAGTTGATCTAAAAAAATTCTAATAGCAGACATTCAGTAAGATTGAGTATAAAAAATAAGAATTAGTAGAAACACAATATTTGAGATAAAAATGAACTATAAATACAAATTAACATAATATAGTAAAATTATAAAATTGTCGGCCATACATAATATAGATGAATGTTTAGAAAAGGTAAAGTAACAAAATTAACCCATGAAGAAATAAAAAGACAAATGTATCAATAAACATTAAACAACTTATTTTTTGTATATATCTTTGCAAAAAAAAAAAGTTAACAGACATGAATAGATAAATAATAATTAAATATATTGTAAAACCTCTAAGAAAGTTCTGAGCATAACTTTATATAAATAGTTCCATGTAATAAAAATAGAAGTGACTTCTTTAAATTCATTTATGAGGCTAGTACAAAACTGATACAAAACTAGAGAATGGAGGCAAAGTTAGAAAAACATAATCTGATTCTTAGAAACATTGATCTAAACATTCTAAATAAGGTGTTGGCAAAACAGAGCCAAATATTTTAATAATAATAATTTTGAGCCAGTTTGTATTTGCTCTGGGAATATAGTTATAGTTGAATAACAGAAATATTTATGGTTGCAATACTCAAATTAAGAGATTAAAGAAAAAAAACTATATTTTAAGATGTTTAAGAAAGCATTTAATGATATTCATATTTCATTAGTGAGTTAAAATTAAACCGTATATATGTAGGAAGAAAAGCAATTCCTAAATTTAACAGCATGTACCTAATAAAAGCTTAATAGTAAAATAAAAAAAAAAGAGAAAAAACAATATGAGAAAATACAGGGTGTCCCTCAAAAATGTATATTTACATTTGATAGCTCACTTTTGAAAATGAAATAAGCATTGCCTTTATAATTGTTCAAGTATGTGTATACATTTTTGGGAAAACCCTATATATATATATCCTTCTAGTGCAGAAATATTACAGAATTATCCTATCTAGTCACTCCAACACACAAGATGGCTGCCCCCATGTGGTCAAAGATGTCTTCCCCCCATGGGGACACAAGATGGCCACCAAAAAATGGCCTGCAAAAGAGGGCAGTTGTGGGCTATCAGGCCAGCAGGGAAAGACAGTTAGGGGTCACCAAGCTGGCAGAGAAAAGCAGTTGGATGAGACCAGGCCTGCAGGGGAGGGCAGTTGGGGGGAGGACTAAGCCTATAGGGGAGGGCAGTTAGGGATGACTGAGCTATCAGAGGAGGGCAGTTGGGGGAAACCAAGCCTGCATGGGAACACAGTTATGTGAGTCCCAGGCCAGCAGGGGAGTGCAGTTAGGGATGACCAGGCCAGAAGGGGAGGGAAGTTAGGGGCAATCAGGCAGGCAGGGGAGCAGTTAAGTGTTGATCAGGTTTGCAGGGGAGTGATTAAGGGGTGATTAGGTTTGCAGGCAGAAGCAGTTAGGGGCAATCAGGCAAGTAGGCAGGTGAGCAGTTGGCAGCCAGCAGTTCAGGATAGTGAGAGAGATATCTGACTGCCCATTTAGGCCCAATCCGGATGGGACATCCCTCAAGGAACCCAAGATTGAAGAGGGTATAGGCAGGGCTGAGGGACACACACATAATAATAAATGGCCAAGAGGAGTTACTACCAAAACAACCAAAAAACTGGTAATCATGAGAGGTCCTCCATCATAATTGGTGATATGGCTGGTCCATACACTGATAGCCCAGCACCCCAGAGGGAACCCCCACTGTAAATAGGAGCGTGATCTGTCTGCAAAACACTGGTGGCCCCTCGCCCAGGCTGGGGCGGGTCTGAGGGCTGGGTGTGTGGTGCAATCATTTAAAAATAAAGACAGATGCGCTGGTGCTTGGAGGTGCCTCCCTGCACTGTGCCTGGCCTCCACCCCCACCCCAGGCAGAGCCCCAGCCTTAGCAGCTTGGTGGGTGAGGGCCTTGTGGCCCCAGACCCAGGCACTGGAGGGGTGGAGTGGGTCCCCCTGCAGCCACTGTAGGGATGCCAGTTAACTTTGCTGGGGAGGCCGGCGGGCTCTGCTGTGTCAGAGCAGCCTGGTTATGCCCTGACCAGGGTGTGCGGGCACTCACACATGGGGGGCATGTGCTGGGAGCACGGAACAGGCATCATATGGACATTTGGGCATGAAAAGGTTTGCACACATTTTGGTGTGCATAAATACAAATACTTCTTTGAAGCTTACCTGGAAAGGTGCTTTATCTGTATTAGGCAGTTTTCAAAATGGAATCCAGAGCAAGGGATCTGTAGTGAAAACACACACACAAGAAAAGGTTCTTGATACTAAACACAAAGCTATAATTGAAGTGTTCATGCCCAAATGTACTGTTTATCAAACATGGTGATATTTACTGTCTGGTGAGTCTGTTCGAAGAGTTTGGTCAATCACTACTCATTACACAAAAATAAAATGATGTAATTATGTGATTACTAAATATATACTTTTAAGCAAAAGTAGTTTACCTTTTTGTGTATTTTTTGCACGTGTGTAGCACATCAAGACTGTTTACAAAGTATAACTTGGATGATGTGACAATATGGTTGAGGAAGAGGGAGTGACCGGTTGTTTATAAAAAATAGGCACCTTACATTTTAAGACAAATGTGTTAACTTAAAATCTTCAGAAGGCTGGGTCAGGGGTCTTTTCAGACCTTTGCAGAGGCCCAAGACATAAAAAAGCAGCTACCCTTTTAGGATGTGGCCTAAAGGAAACCTGTTATTTTCAGTTATCACTGTCTTCAAAGTAAAATATCATTTTTGCAGCATTTTTATGTGAGGGTTGTTTTTGTCCATACTTTTGCTACAGTATTTGAACTAGGTGCCATCATCTTAAACAATAGCTTTTTTTCTCAATATGAGACACTTAAATTTTCACACACACCCCAAAAATGTTTATTTGAAGTAACTTATGCATCTGGACTCTGGGTGGCCTAATAAGCTCAGTGATTAGACAGGTGTTTTTATAGCCAAGGTCAAAGGCTCTTTCCCCTGATTAGCCCTTGAGGGGGGAGCAGCCAGAGGCTTTCCTGACCAGCATAGGGAAAGGGGGGAGGGGCAGGAAAACCATTAGAGGAAAAGGAGTGGGATTGGAAACTCCCTCCCAATCACTCTTAAGAGAGTTCAAACAATGCCAGTAGTGGAGGACAGGTGGGCGGGATGGCGGACTACCTTGTTGTTGGCCAAAGAACCAGAATGACTTGTCCAGCAGTAACTATGATGAGAACTGACCACCAGGGGGCAGATGATCAATGCAGAAGCCACCCCCTGTGGTCAGTGTACTCCCACAGCCAACTGCCTGTGGTTTGCCAACCTCCCCCAGTCCCTCTCCATGGTTAGCCAACCTCCCTCAGTCCCTCCACCCCAGCCAGCCAGCTAACCTCTCAGAGTCTTCACCCAGCAAGTCCAAATGGGGCTGGCCAGCCACCCTCTCACACTCTGTCTTACTGGCCAGTCCCTCCTCCTGGTTGTACCATCC